TTACGATTCAAATCCAAATAATAATGTTGGTGGAGATAAAATTCCAATTCATCGAAAAATGTATTTTCATTAAGCAACAAATTTCATTTTCGTTCAGTATTTTATCAATACAACGCTTAAGTATATTTGCTTCAGCGAAAAACTTCTCGTGTATGGAAATACATCGATACGCGATTTGTAGCTTCTCGAGAGTAAAGGAAAAAAAAAAAAAAAAAACGAGGTATACGAAGAAGGCTACCTGAAACGAAACGCGGTAAGACACCGTTTTCGGAGCATTTATCACGACGAAAACATCTGTTGTTCCTTTTTCGATCTCTACTTCTTCGCGCGCGCATTTTAACGCGATCTTGACGGTTTCGCGCCTCCTACGCTTTTATCGTCAACCGTAGAGCCTCGGAGAATTTTAATAAGAGTTGGTTGGAGGGGGGGGGAGGAGATGATTCCGGTATACTTACTTTGCATACGTATTTTTCGAGACTGTACGAGCGTGGGCTGTGCGTTACGTACGTACTCGTTTTGTGCGGTGGTCTCACGAAAATTTCGTTTCCTCTCGCTCCCTGCTTTTTTGCGTCACAATATCCTGTATACACCTAATGTTACGTATACAATGAGGTGTGTTAATAATTTTTTTGAAATTCTTAGCTGTATGATTGTTGTTGTGTATACTTTCAAATATGCATGCGATAAATCTCCTTAAACGTTTTTTTAGACCGAATCGATAGAAGTTTTTTGCAACTAATGCTTGTCTCCCTATAAATATATCTCTTTTTCTGAGCTTTTTAGTGTCTTTGTGCAAGTCTCTCAACACTACGGCCTCGACTCTGCCTTTTAACGAATTCATTACAAAATTCCCGTCCCTTTACCTCCACAAGCATAAAGATTTCCATACTCTAGTATCATCTTTGTCTTATTCTTAACATATGTATCAATAACTTTTCATCATCACCAAAATATTCTGATGTTGTAGGTGTAAAAATAATTCTCTTGATTAATAACGTGCATTGATGTAATATTACTGGTATCTGTTGTTGCATTGTTAATTAAAATTGTTGAAAAATGCGCAACGAGTAGCGTGCCATCAAGTTAAATAATACATTTATTGTAGTAGTGAAAAAAAAAATTTATAATTCAAACGTACACGAAATATTTAGTGTGGTGTATGCTCCGAAAGCACAGATGTAATTTGTTATTATAGGATTTACATGGGATAGTTACCTTACTTTTACAGAAGTTTTTTAGTGGAAGAGGAAAAAAATTGGATTTGGAAAACAAGAGATACCCCAGTACGTCTGTTACACATTTTTGTACGTATAAGTGCGCGTATATCTGTGAGTACGACATTTTTGTGCCTGTATAGGAGAGATACATAATAATAAAACAAAACAAAACAAAAATAGTTTCAGGTCGTACGAGGAGAGTATCAAATCGACGCGTCAACTCTCATGTATTTACATGTATGCATGATCCCCCACAGTGATCGTACTGTTAATGGTAGACACCGCAAGTGTCTTTATAAGGACCGGTGGCCTCAGCATCATCTCTCTCCCTTCGCATTTAATCTGACTCTCACCTCTCAGATGCACGCACACACGCACACACGTCTTGAATGACCAAGATTTTTCTCTTTCATACAATATACGTGCGTGTCAATCTTTTGGGAAGATCAACGTGATTTCCTAAGCGTATTATCCATGCGTGTCTATGTATAACTACTGCAGAGAACACTACAATTTTTTTGCGTTTTTCTTTCACGCATGAATATTATTCAATACTTATGATTTTCCTTCTTTTGATTGACAAAGTTAAATAAAAAGAAGAAAGTTTGGCAGGTCAGTTGGTACTACGATCGTTGATGCATCGGGTTGAAAACTGTGTTTTTTAATAGTAATTAAGGAAACTCGAGTTTTTTTTTTTTTTTTTCAATTCGCTTGGTAATCGAAAAAACGAAATTAAACCAGACAATATTTTCCACGGATGAATATGTTTTCATTCGATTTTTTACAAACCGAACAAAATTATTTTTAAAAGCTATATTTGTATAACAACGAAACCAAAAGAAATGCACAGCCGAGCTTATTTGCTTCGATATTGTGCAAAAATCCAACCAAGACTCTCATTGAGTTGGTCTCACGATCAACCAACAAAATAAAATAAACCCAATTCGCTGCCCTTCCAGAAGAAAAAAAAAAAAAAAAAAAAAAAAAAAAAAAAAAAAAAAAAAAAAAAAAAAAAAAA